TTTGTTCTTCGAATCAACTCCGAACACACAAAATAGGAATGATGCAATGTCTTCACTAGAGATATGGAAAATTTTACTTCCACTGGAAACGAAGAATATGAGTTGATAGAACTATATACATATTATATCGATATGATTACGAGGAATAATTTATACTCGAATTATCATCAAGTAACAAATACTGTCTCATCGTAGGTTATTTGAAATAAACAAATCTAATGTGGAAATACTACGATTAGCCCAAATCCTAATGATTTGATGATATTCAGAATCCTCCTCCTGATGAATCAATGACGGGTGTCTAAGCCACTTAGCTCTAATGCTGCGCAGCACGGTTTCAAGTCAAATCACTTCATGACTTTTTTGAATGGAAACTAAGAAACTTACCTTGATGACCCGCCAACACGCTAATTAGCCTTAGGCATTATTTCTAAGTGCATGAGTAGACGATCGTATTTTGAGTGATTGGGTAAGGAAAACTTAAAAAGATACCAGTGAAAAGTGTACAGTCTTAGTAGGAAAGGGAAGATTTATATATCATTACAACCCGCGGGGTTAATTAATAAAGATAAAAGTGACAGTTGACGAGAATCTGAACGCACGTTAAACTTAACAGCCAAATTCAGTGAAATCCAAGAAATTAAGACAATTCGTCACCAGTTAGGGTGGCTGCCATCTTAGTTAAGTGTCATATCGCCTACGGCAAAAATATAATTTGCTTTATCTGTACACCTTGACGGCAGATTTTTAATTAATATGAAGTGAGAAACTATATTTTGTTCCAAAGGCATTGTCCAAGTTCGTATGTAGTCGATATTTCAAGGCAAAATTCGTGAAAAGAACCTGTCATAACATAAACGTTAACTTAAAAGTTTCCTTCTCTTCATAATTCACCCTGACTTCAGTCAATTGGTTCTTGCTGGTGCTACTTCATCTCGAAACATTTTTCTTCTCACAGTACAGACACTGCTAATCGCTTACGACGAATTTTCATGAAAGTTGTTAACAACTTGGAATTTGAAGTTTTGTTTGTAGTTACATCATCTATCATCTGTATCCCATAGGGAATTACGAAAACTTATGTAGTAATACCTTATATGAAGGCAAAAACACAAGAAAACAGTTTCCAAACAAGTACAACTCCTTTCGACGTTAACTGATTAAATACACTCGGCAAACAAATTTAAATTCAGGTTTCTGGTTCATTGACTCTTATCAACATGGTATGTCAGTAGCCTTGACTGAGTTGATTTCCACCACGAATATGCTCCTGTTTGATTTTATTCTGTAATTAGAGGCCCTAGCTTAGAGTTGTTTGGATGGCAATTATCCATATGTGTGAGATAAAAATAATAATAGTTCAAAGGACATCAAAAAGCCCTACTGTCAAGTTTAGCCCCTAACAGGGTTCTATAGACCAAACTAGAATATTTACCACTGTAGTTCACTGTTAGGTGATATCTTCTCCGGCTGCAGTGCTGGAGATGTGAGTTTGCATTATTATATCAATACAGGTTCCTATAGGTTTGTACATATACTTTATTGACGAGAAAGCTATTCTTCGGAACATCCTCCTGACCGTTTTCTGTAAAATAACGTTCAGAAAAGTCCATATCGTTGGTAAACTTGGTTTCTATAACTCACAGTCTACAGACAGAATGCATTCTCTACTGAGGATAAAAAATGATACTGATCATTTTTCAGTAAATTATCAACACCAACGCCATTCACAAAACTTCAACGTATTATTCGAGAAAACACATGACTTTCCAATAATAGTCAAACATTTTTATCCTATCTCAAAACTCGCTTAATATTGTAGTATTTAGAAAATAGAGCGAAGCGAACAATGTGTGCTCATATTATGTAAAAAACATCGGCTATCACATATATCAGCGATAGTATCCGAAATTCAACTACAGAAATATCATTTCAGATAAGCACTATTAATTAGTCACCAGTCAGCCTCAATGGCGAATTCAATTACACAGAACTGCTAACAGTCTATTTTCTGATTTCTTGAGCGATTATTACTATTATTAATATAGATATAAATATTATTTGTCCCTTGAGTTCCTAATGGAACATACGGCTTCAGTAGCATGTCCGCATTCCACTCTGTTCTCTAAAATCTTTCGAACCCGGCTCCACAACTGCCCACAAACTCTTATTTCTTCCTCACACTATCTCATCCATGTCACCCTCGACACCAACGACCAACTCGTCGCTTCCCATCTGGGTTCGACTCGAGTGACTGACCTGGCGCATTATGCCCCCAGTCGGCCTTCTCAGTCGGCCATGCACAATACATCCCCATCTCCACTTCATTCTGCATATCTGTTGAGTGATAGATTCTGCTTTGTTGGTTCGTTGCCAGCCAGCCAGCCAGCCACAGTACCTTGTTGCTTATTCTCATCATTCTGGCAATCCATCTGATCTCATCTGATCTTCAGTAAGCAGCCAGTTTAGGGGCAGTTGTTGATGTGGTGTATGTCTGTAGTTTGTTGGAAATCCCTTCGTAATGCACCAAGTCTCTCAACCAACACATAGAAGCACTGACTTGACTGATGTTCGTGTTGAAAATCCGGATGTTGTTCCACATGCTGAGTGGAGTGCAGAAGATCTCCACACTGATTTCAGGCTAATGAACGAAGCCTGTCTTGCTGTCTTTCCAATCCTGACTTTGACATCGTCGTCTGTGCCACCACCTGTAGTTGAGACAGTGCTGCGTAGGAGAGTGGGTGAAGGAGGCTACTTCCTTTAAGTTTCTCCCCTTCATGGTGATTGCAGCTTCTTCTTCTTGTTGTCATTGTTGTTGTTGCTGGTGGTGGTTGGGTATCTTCATCACCTCTGTCTTCTCTACACTCAGTTGAAGTCCCGTCTTCCTTGGCTGCCCTGCCCTGCCCTGCCCTGCATCTCCTGTCAACTTGTTAGTTTTCGCCTGTACATCTTCCAGTTTGTGCCACATCAGACACAAGTCATCATTGGCGAAATCCAAATCTTCTAGGTTCTTTCCCGCACTCCAGTCAGCGTATCCCCCTCTTCTCACAGCTCCTCACTGTTTGCTGCATGATCCAGTCAAATCGACCACAATCAGGAATATCATGAGTGATAGTAGACAGCCTTGTTTCACTCCTTCCTGTCTTCACTTCAAAAACATCACTGAGCTGAGCTGTCCATTGTGAATTACTTGGCTGTCATGTGGCGTCTTCATATAGCTGTTGTTGAATGATGCTGATGAATGTTTGCGATATTCCGTAGTGTTGAAGCAACTGACTGCCGCACTACTTGTTGGTCGACGCCGTCGAAGGCCAGCCTTCTCAAAGTCGATGAAGTTGAGGTGAGGTGTAGAGTTGACTGGCATTCTATACTCTGTTCTATGATGATGCGTAGTGTCGCGTTGCAATTTGGTCGGCACATGATTTGTACCTCCTGAAGTCAGCCAGGAAGGCAGCCTGCTCCGGTCGTAGTTTTGAATCCAGTGCACCGTTTAGTCTCTCCAGGATGATGCGGCTTAATATTTTGATTGCTCTGGGTGTACAGGAGAGTGATTCAGCGCCAGTTCTTGCAAACACTTAGGTTGCCCTTCTTCGGGAGTTTGACAAGTTAACGCTTCTTCCAACATGTCGGCGATATGTCGTAAGAGATGTGTAAGGAATTTTTCGGCTATGGGGATGTAAAAGGAAATACTCAGATCATTAGGAGATTGACTGCAGGGTAATTTTCTCACCCCGAATTAATATCGGTCACACAGAAGTGCATTGGCTCAAGTCCACACAATTCATAGTAGTACACAAACAACAGGTGGATTGAAGAAGACTGATACCAAACAAGATAAAACTGTGTAAGAGAATAAATCATCTGAAGATAAGGTTAGTGAGAATGTTCAAGGTTTAGAAGACATTACACAGTGAATACATTTGCGTCATTCTCACCGATTTCCAATCATGCATGTCACCAAGAGTCTTAAATCACTGATTCCTTTCGTCTCCACGATCCCAACCAGGCAGTGTGCACCACCCCTTACAACTCAAATGCGTAGGGAGAGACTGGATCGACTGGTGTGATATTTTGATCTGATCACCCTGACCCCTCTTCCAACTTAATACAACTCCCCCTAGACACATCGACATATTTTTAAAGTGAAAAAGTTCTGCTTGTCCTAGTATACGACTCCTCACCATTGCGGTGTCACATTTCCTGACAAAATGAAGTCACAAAGCTCATTGGCTTTCGTTCAGTATCTCAGAATTCAGTGGTCCACATATTCCAACCACATTTATTGTTCGATATCATGCAATTATCAAATATTTTACTCTGGACATCACTGTCGTCTGTATTACAAGCATACATACATCCACTTCTATTTAAGGTCAGGCGTTGTCTACTTTTCTGTTTACATTGGGACCAAATAGATCATCTTTTGTATAATCATTTACATAAATTTAATTGGAAAAGTACATCGTACCCTTCTCTGAAAAACCCTTCACCTTGACATGTATTGTTATCATCAAATGAGACCAAAGTTATCGGAAGCACTGAATGGAAAATACACTTCCATTTTATAAAATGTTTCGGACTGAAGAAAAATTTTCCATGTGATTAACATGATCTAGACAAATGAAGTCAAAGTGGTCAGATGAGATATGCATCAAACAGTCTCATTCTTGATCACCAGTCTTATTGTTCAGCTTGTTTGCCTGTATATATTTGTGTGTGTGTGTACAAGAATCTATTCCACTTATAGGCTAATGAAAATCTGATTATTCCAACGTGATTGGCTATCTTCTTTTGAGGTCTGTTCATGGAGTGGAAATTACATGTCCCTTTAACCTTAAAGCAACGCGGTTATAAAATTTTCTACAATGGATAGTATGCTTAGTATAGTAAATAGTATTGAATAGTATTGAATGAAGCTGAATGAGGTCACAAACCTTCTTTCATAACTCTGGACATATCATCAACATAATCTTTACTATTATTTCGTTTGATATGGAATTATGATACCTTTGAATTCGGATTTCTCTTTATTATCTTTAAATGATAAAAATTGTTTCAATGAAACTGATAATCAGATAACTGGTCTACCAGTTGATCGTCGAAATAGTCTTTTAGCAACTACAGAATGTTCTAATCATCTTTTTTGGCAAGGTAAGTAAGCGAATCGATAAGAATTCTTCAAACTCAAATATTCTAATATACTGTAAGTAGATTTTAAGATGATATTTAGTGTCCATGATGTTTTGCTTTTTTTTTTAGCTAATTACATAAATGTCACGATATTCATATAGTATGTAACTATATTGTGTGTATAATACAGTTTAATCGATATCTGATTTATACTCATTCTGATTTGTGTACTAACCAGTAGGTTTTTATTGGAATCGTGCTTAAAAAAGTTATCTGTTTGGCTGAATAGTGATAATTGTAAGATAAATTGCGTCACAGTCAGATTCCAGCCACTGATTTCTTCTTAACAGAGACGCAGTGTAAAACTTAACCGTCTACTATATCTTGATTATATTCAAACTATTCGATGAGTTTTTGTACGACTGTCCGTTTGTTTCAATATACTTACAGACTAGTCAAGTTTCAGTGTAATCCATTTCTACTAAATTTATAAACGGTGATCAGGTGATTGAATTGAGAATCAGTTTATCTGTGATAACCACTGGTAAAATATACTGTTACTATAAAGAAGATTTCAACTGAACTAAAAACTGAATTATGATTGCTTTCAAAACAGTCCCTTTAGCACTCAGCTAAAAGCTAGTTCTGAATTATGCACCCAATTTTGAATCATTTTTTGGCTGGTTACTGGTCGAAATTCCATTTCATTTGCCCATATATAGCCAACCAGGAATCATGCTGTTGTCCACCCCAAGCAAAATATTATGCTGAATCATCCTGGAGAGACTGAAGGATGCACTGCATTCAAAACTACGACCAGATCAGGCAGACTGGCTGGATTCAGGAAGAACAAATCATTCGAGGGTCAGATTGCAACGCTACGCTACGCATCGTCATAGAACAGAGTATAGAACGGCAGTCAACTCTCTACCTCAACTTTGACTTTGAAAAGGCCGGCCTTCGACAGCGTCGACCAACAAGTAATTTGACAGCTGCTCTTTCAAAACCACGGAGTGCCACAAATCTTAGTCAACCTCATTCAACAACTATATGAAAATGCCACATGCCAAGTGATCCATAATGGAAAGCTGAGTGACGCCTTTGAAGTGAAGACAGGAAGCAGTAAGACAAGGCTGCCGCCTACTATCACCAATCATCCTCCTGATTGTGGTCAACTGGATCATGCAACAAACCGTGATGAGCTGTGAGAAGATGGACACACGCTGGCTGTACCGATGAAAAGACCCCAGAAGGAGATTTGGATTTCACCACAGATGATGATTTATGTCTAATGTCTAGTCGCACAAACTCGAAGATCTACAGGCAAAAATCAACAAGTTGAGAGAAGAGTTGAGGCAGTGAAGACGGGACTTCTTTCAGGTGAACGTAGAGAAGACGTAGGTGACGAAGATATCCAACCACCACCAACAACAACAACGTCGACAACAACGACACCAAGAAGCACCAATCACCATGAATGGGAGAAACCTAGAGGAAGTAGTCTCTTTCACCCACCTAGGCAAGGTAGCACCGTTCCAACTACAGGCGGTACAGGCACAGATGAGGATGTCAAAGCCGGGATCGGAAAAACAAGGCAGCCCTTCATTAACCTGAAATGAGTGTGGAGATCTATTGCACTGCATTGTACTGCGCTGCACTCAGGATGAAGCGTGAACAACATTCGGGTTTTTAATATCAATGTCAAGTCAGTGCTTCTGTGTGACGGGTCAGAAACTTGGCGCGTCACAAAAAGCCCTTTTCAACAAACTACAGGCATACATCACATGAACAGCTGCCGCCCACGCTCATTCGATGCTGACACTAAAGATCAGATGGCCAGAAAGAATACGCAACAAAGAACTCTGGGAGCGAATCAACCAAGAATCTATCACGCAACAAATATGCAGTAGAAGAAAGTGGAGATGGATTAGGCATACACTGAGAAGACCATTCGGAGGCATCACGCGACAGACCAGGCCCTCGAGTGGAATCCAAAGGGGAACAGACGAGTTGGGAATCCCAGCCGAGGGTGACATAGAGGAGATCATGTGAGGAAGAAATGAAAGGTTGTGGGCAGTCGTGGAGCGAGGTTGAAAAGACTTGAGAGAAAAGAGTGCAATGGAGGGGGTCTACTGAAGCCCTATTTTCCACTAGGAACCGAAGCGATAAATAATTATAATAATATATAGCCAAACAGATTGTATTACAGAACTCAATATATGCGTGTGAATATTTACGTCATTAAGTTAAATTATTGTCAGGCTACTGATATGCAGACTAGAAGTTTGGTCATTTAGTTGATGGCAAATATTTTTATAAATCTAACATCCTGCTATTGAGTGTGATCAGATATTTAGTTGGTGAACTCTAATATACCGCAGACAACCTGATTCCACAATATTTCCTTAAACTTAGAGTAGATATGTTGAAATATTTAGGTTGAAACTGATCCTGGAATCTCTTACATGCTTTTGTCTACCACTGCAAAAAGCAAGATGTATTTGCTTATGGAACACGTATTGGTTAGACAGAAGTGGCAGCAAGTGTCACAATAATTTTATTTGTTAATACTTTCTTGTTCTGATCCACTTATTTTGTATTCCAATCCGACAACTGGGATTAAGTATATCAAACCATCGGGGTGGGAGGGGGGACGTGATATTTCGTTATGAAAATGCTCTTAGTCAAACAAACCGTTAAAACCAATTTAGAACCTTGCACAAAAGTGCATTGGTTCAAGTTGCCATACTTCTCACTAGTACACAAAGAAAAAGTGGAAAGGTTGTAATTGATCTCAAAGTAGATAAGGGTGTATGAAAGAAGAACGAATCTGAGAATTAAGGAAAGTGAATATGTTCAGAATTTGGAAAATATCAGAGTGAATACATTCGCAACATTGTGACGATTTTCAATCATTTCACCATGGATCCTAAAACACTGATTTATATTATCTTGAGTATCTCAATCAGGCATAGCTTAAGATAACAACATAAACTGGTGCCACATCCAATACTGTAGTGCTTTCTGTTCTGCTACATGACTGCCAGATATTTTTAAGAACAAACTCCGGTTTTTTCGGTTGAGTATGGTTTCATGTCAGATAAATTTAGTCGGTATCGAATGCAAAGCATAGTACTTTTTATAGATTGAATCAAAGAATCACAATTAATCGATCATCTAGGTCTTCAAAGTATTATTTGCTGTTATTAGGATGGTTAACTCACAAGTGTTGAAGTCAAGTGTAAATTGCTGTGTACGTCAGGTAAATCAGTTGATGACTCTATGAGACGTCAGCTGATGTACTGAACATCTGGTTAGCGCATCCTTACGTAGCACGAAGAATATGATAACTGTGCAAAAGGTACTTTTATCATCTGTGATCATCACTATGATTTGGATGATGTTCTAGAAATATTTTCAACAACTGTTATTCAGCAATTAGATTCACCCTTGAGGTCGGAAACCGATGGAAAATTCACTTTTTTGATGCAAAGCTGACAAGAATAGTTGGTGGAACGTTAAGTAGATCAATTCACAGAAAAACAGTGTGGAATAGTCAACTGACAAACTTTAATAGCTGGGTCCCTATAAATCGTAAGCGAAATCTGATCATATCTTTTGCCACTCGCTTTAAACGAATTTGCAGTCGTAATATGTTAGAAGAAGAAATTTCCATTCTAAAGAACATCCTGATTGAAAACGGATCCCCACCACGCTCCATAGACAAGAACACGAAGCCTACACCTCAAAAGAGAACCTTGCCACCGTCCTAAAAAGACTCTGTATATGAAACCAAGCTTCGAAGGTGATTCTGCCTCTAAGACTCTAAAAAGGAGGGTATCAAACGCTCTAAGAAGAACATTCGTAACATAAGCACAGACTAGTTTTCTCCTGTCACCTAATAATTACTAACAACTCAAAGGAAAACTTTCACATCTGACCACTTCTATGTGCATGTATCAATTCACCTTCTCATGTGGAGCCAGGTATATAGGTCGTTCGATGCTACCATTATCCAAAAGGGTTCAACATCACTAAGATCACTAAGAGGATGTAAGTGCCATAATTGAACACATTATCAACTCGAATCACGCTATATCAAGAACCTCCTCGTTCAAAGTTATCTATAAAGTGGAAAGAAATTTTCGAAAAGTTGTATATCTTCGTATTCTCTGGATCACCGAATCTCTTGTCATCCATATGGAGAAACATGAACTGTGTATCCAAAAGAAGACTGTTCAACCCCTTCTCCTTTCATAGTCTTCGTTTTCAGTCTCCTCTAACCCCTCCCCCACACTTTTTTTTCATTTTTCTGTTTGACAGTATTCAATTCTTAAGTAATTTATTACTCATTCTTGCTGCTATCTTCTGTCTGATTACAATTTAGTTCCCAATTATGTTGTCATTTTACGAAACTTTTGTCCAAACCTATTTTGATTAATATTCACTACTCATCAGTTTCTGGTATTTTTGATTTGAGTGACTGCTCAGTTATGCCATGCTTGACAAACCGTTTTTAACTATCAAACCCTTACACTAGAAAAATGTGTAAATCTGCGATTGTACACCTTTGATGTGAAAATCGCTGAAAAGAGAGTCTTCGGTGAATAACTTTTTTTCTTTCATACCCTGACGGTATATTTCACACAATGAAAATGACAAAAGCAAAAATTCAACTGATTCATAAATTGAATGTGAATTCTGGTTGAGGCTTTTGGCACCGCATAAATATATGATAATAAATTAGTAAAGTCTCAAAATCGAGTATACAGCAATAAAGATACCAGCAAATAAATTGGTTGGTCACGGAAAGTGATCAGCCGGAAGCCTTGGAACTAGGTTTCGTGCTTGTTGGCATTCGTCAGCAAGGCGTATCTGCAACCTTAACAGAAATTATGTCCTGCCTAAGTTTCGAACGAGCTTGACGCAGTGTTATAGTCAGCAACACTAACGCTAAGCCATTCCGTCCGTGGTTCAGCCCCTGTAGGACTGGGTTAAATACACTGGTTGGTCACTCTCCC